TTAATTTAAGGCTTAGTGAAACACCATTTAATCAGCTCACAAATGAAGTTTTGTTTTCTCTTTCGCTCTATTAGTTTTAAAATTGACATGCTGATGCTGATAGCTGGTAAAATTCATGTAATTTTGAAGGAAATCTCACTAATTTTCATAAGTGATTTACTTATTCTTATGATTCAAATAAGCTGTTTAGATTATCTCAATGTTACATGCATGTAGATAACATTACATGTTATAGCCCATTAAGTAAAGTAGCTAAACATGGTAAACTTGGTTAGATTTTAATATCTAGCACTGTAAAATAACAAAAAAGTGCAGTTGTTCATCTTTTAATGCGTGAAATTATTTCAAAGTGCATTAAGTCCTTGCATTACATTACTCTGTAATAATTAACCATTTACAGGTATGTTAGATGTATTTACAAAATCACAAATTTATGTATGACTGTAAGTTAATCCTGAGCTATGGTGAATGGATTCCATTTCGGAAGGAAATGGATAAAGGAAATGTTAGATGCAATAGATATAATAAAATAAATAACAACTGCTCGTTCTTGGCAGCCGTATTAGGTGCACGGTGCTTTTTAGGAATACATCCTGCCAGGAACCCATTACACAAATTATTACAATTGTGAGTTTTCAAGGTTTGGACGACGCTAAAGTGGAAGAATGTATACACTAGATAGACGAGTATGTAGGTTTTAGAAGATTAGGGGTCAAAACATGTAGCACTGCAAAGTAACATTGCATAGATAGGCTAACCTAGTGTTACCTAGAAAGCTCACCTACACGTATCCAGTCAAATAGGTGAAGATGATTTAAAGTCTTGTTATGTAATCCTGAATTATGGCTACTTTTGTAATACATTTCTCAAAATCTTACGAATGGCATGAATGTTGACACCACATTTCACCCTAAGAAAAAAAGATTACACAAAGAAATACAATTAATAAAAGTCGTTGAATATAAAACACCTCATTCTTTTTCAACATCCAGCATCGTCTGACAACCCTTGGAAAATTTTGTCACGTTTTATAATTTTGTAATGTGCAACTGCAGCTACACATTTTACTTCCGATAAACATGATGTATGCGCTATAAGGGGGGGACCCATATCTTTTCCTCTGTCCAATAGAATTTTGACAACATTTAATACAACATGTTATTCCTTTTTCCCCCAAATGGTGTATCTATCTCAAATAGATTTCGAGACACGTATAAGTATGGATGAGGCATTGATACAGCCCCACGAAAGGATAAATGGCCCTATTGACAAGAAACGTACTGACATAATTCGTGAAAACAGGACTTCTCTCGTCGATACTCACCAAATGCTCATTGATTGGCAGCCGCATAGACGCACATCTACAAGAGTCAAAGAAACGATCAACATAGAAAATGAGCCAGGTAATACTAAATATTTATTCAGCAATTTAGGGGCTTGAGGTAGAAAAAGTATGAACACATCCCCTCTCGATAAAAGAAGAAAGCGTACTCCTCCCCCCCCCCCCCAGTACCCTTCCTTGATTTTGTACCCTTCCCATTAACTACCTGTTTTTATGGTAAATCGAACCCGGGTCTGAAGCTGTATACGCCAAATGCCTTAACCACTAGATTACGAAGGCTGGTTGAGTGGTATTCGGCTATACCAGATACAATCACTGACGGACAGCCTAACCAACCTCGTAATAATTAATTCATCCTTTCTATTGGAGGGGAAGGGGTGTATACAATGACAAGTTGTATACGATAGAACTTTTCGCTCTTATACTAAATGGCATCGACAACTCCGGAGGGGTAAATGTGCATAATGTAAAAAATCAGTCGTGCCAATAGAGATATATATTTTGCTTAGCTTTAAATTCGTTTTACCTCCGTATTTTCCTCTTTTTTGACATTAACTGAAAAGGTCTCATTGATATTGATATATTTAAGGTAACAGATATTGAAAATGAAATGATTTGGTATAAAAGCAATATTAAAAATATGAATGGATTATTGTAAAATTATTCCAAACTGGATAAGAAACAATATTCTTAAAGTGAAACAAGTCTTAGTAAAAAGAATCTGGAAAGAAGTTGAATCCATTTGTATTAATTTTCAAGAAAGTGAATTATACTTTCCGCCTTCAAATTGGCAAAGTTAACAAGTGCATTTCCGAATTTTTGGTTGCAGAAGTTACGTAACAGGATACAATATGTAAATAGTCCATCGTCTGCAGTGGAATCCAGTACAATTGAAATGGTATTAGGTGACTCCATAGCGGGCATGAGAGCCAAACACTATTATAATCTGATGTTAGAAAAAAATAAACAGGATCTGCCGTGCATTTATTTTTGGAACGCTTATTTAGATTTAACTATTTATTAGTTTAATTGGAATACGGTGCTTCATTATAAATTTTTCCTTTATAAATGAAAACAGAATTAAGCAATTTAATTATAAATTTATTCATAGAATATTACCTAGTAAAGACAATCTATGTAAATGGAACATTAAAATATTAATCCATGTGATATCTGTAATATTCCAGATACAATTAACCCGGCTTGTAAGAAGGTTTCGCTTTTTTGGAAGATTGTGTCCAAATTAATCGATACTTTGTTAAATTTTAAAATCTTTTTGAACGAAAAAAAAACATTTTAATAGGTCATGAAATAGAGAGAAGAAAAATGAATCTTGTCAATATTATTTTAAACTTTGCTCAGTTTACTATCTATAGAAAATATATTAGATAATGTTTTGGAGGTGAAAAGCACAGGATACATGCTGTATATTTGATAAAAGAATTATAGGTAGAAATTTGCATCTCAATATGAAATGTTATCAAAAGAAATTCGATACAAACGAAGTAACAAAATTGTTTTCATTATCTTAGTGATTATGTTACATTAGTTTCATGTGTTGTACTATATATGATATATTACAATTGCATAAATTATGCGTATAAAAGCTGTTGTAAATAGCTGTTATTTTATGATATGAACAAATACAGTCCCTCGAAAGAGGATAAACAGAGGGAAACAAAAGAAAGGGTCTCAAATACTGTCTCCGCCGGGAATCGAACTCTGGAAACAAAAGTCTCACCTTCTAGTTATGTTTAGTTTCGTAATAATGTTTATATTGTATTATAGATGATACCTGGCCTTATAACGAGGAACTGGAAACGATTTCACGTCACCTCACACAAGAATCAATGAAGAAAGTCTGCAATAAACTGGAAATTGACTTCCAATGTGATGATGCTAATGACGAAGGGAAGCGGTTAGAATCTCTACGTAAATGGAGAACCAAGGAGTCAACTAAGCCTAAATGGGATAAATGGGAGCAACTGTTTTCAGCCTTGGATTCAAACAACCTCGGAGGTACCGTCTTACCAAGTGCATAATGTTATGTTCTTACTTCTTACATATCTATAAACATGTATAACTGAATTATTCTCACACCTTTTACACATTTGGTGCTTTTTTGTGTTTTTCGTTGTTCAAGAATGAAGATGGACTGGTTGAAGCGGGGCCTTTGTTATATACTTACAGATGTAACGTTATTATGCCATATGCTTAGCTAACATGAATCGGAACACGTCAATTTTTCACATACTTACAGAACTAAAAAACTTGGTAAGGGTATTAATAATAGTTGTAAACTTTATAAATGTTCATGAAGATTTGCGTCCATGTGATCCCAATCTGAATAAGAATTACCTCGCAACTTTTAAGGGTTATGTCAATTTATTTTTTGTCAAGTCACCACTAAACGTAAAATATTCCATTAACGGTTTGACTTACACATTAATTTCAATGTGATTTGTAATGATTTTTAGTATATAAAAAAAGCAATATGTGCATGACCGGTAATCCCCTGTAATAATAAACAAGGTTGTCTGTTTATAATCCCCAGTGTTGGTGCCAACTTTAAGAGGACCATACATCTACAAAGCTGAGATAGTTGATTTGGCTTTTAATCTGCTAATGGAGGATGTTTGTCCTGTTGCTAAAGAGCTGGGTGTCAATGTCACTAAATCAGCATCGTATCGACCCGTTTTCAAGGGTTCTCACCTCAACCTTGGTGCCATAAAGTTACTCATTGATCTCAACTCCTCCATTGAAGATACCAGCCACCCATTTGAAAAAAGATCGGTTTTCTGCAGGAAAATAGCAAATTTCAAATATGATAATGTCGCCATTACAGGGATGATTGGTAAGATTTTATTTATAGCGAAACTGAAATACATTTTATTATTTACAGTACAAAAAGTATGGTAAGTTTAATTTTAAAAAGAACATTGATTGATCTGAGTGGAACCAGAGATATAGATGTACTAGATGGAAAGTCTTGAGCGCCAATTTCTGGAATGGACAAAAAGCACCTAGCAAACAAGTGGCTACATACTAGCTAGCAGGAATCCGATCCGCATTATAACATTGGTTGCTGACAATGGACAGTTTGAATTATCTGCTTGACGTAAATCTTTCTATTGATATAGATGCATATTATGTTCTAAGTATGAAAGAACCGTTTAGCATTTTTCTTTGCTTATATTTTCAAGAGTACAACATGAGCTATGGGGAGTTGTGTTCTATCTCGGAAGCAATAAATCAAAACCTAGAAGGACGTGCTGATCAAGGTAAGAATTTATCTGCTGAAGCATGAAGTTTTATGGAATATAGTTTGATATCCAATCCGATATCATTTTGGCATGATCCGATTTTCATGTCAATTTTCATCAATTCATCAATCAAGCCCATATCATGAGGCATTTAAAGTTTTTAACGAATATTCCAACCTGATTTACTTTTACAAGTGAGGTACTCAGCAAATTATCACCCCCCCCCCCCACACAAAAAAAAAAAACAACAACAACAACAAACAAAAACTTTGAATAGTTGAATCCGTAATTATTTCACTTAATTCATAGATTAGTCAAAATGCACTAAATTTCACGTTTAATGATGACGTTACAGAAGTTGGTCTTGTTGACTTTTTTTCATTTAGAAGCTTCTTCCAGCATGCTTCAAGGTCCAGGAATCTCCGAATCACTTCAGGATGTGCTCCAGCTAACTGATCAAGACATAGCTGACCGTCTCGATATCTCACACCCATTAACAGCATATGCGCTGTTTAAGATATGGAAAGAGAAGCAACGTCCGTCGGTTTTCAACTATCGTACAGCTTTAGCTCATGAACTACGAAGAATCCAGATGCCTGGTCTCGCAGATGAAATAGCTGCAGGTTAGGCCATATGCTATTTAATATAGACTAATGCCCCGGTGACACTTGCCCGCATTTTGGTTTGCGCATAGTTTGCGCATAGACACATACTCTTGCGTGCCGATGCGGGAAGTATTCGTGGTAGCGTGCGGGAGGATGCGGGCCGTGCGTGAAATGCGTGACAGAATTTTCAAAATGTTCAAAATTTTGGCACGACAATTATGTTTGGCAACGTTCGTGAACACTTCGTGAACTATGCGCACACTATGCGCTGTCAAGTCTTGCCAGTGCGCGCCGTTGCGTGTCCGATGGCCTAGTGTCACGCATGTTCACGACTAATTAACGACTAATTTGCGCATTGGCTGCGCATACTTCCCGCGCAGTTTTCGCATGCCATGCGCATAGTCTACGAATGCGTGTCCTGGTGGTTACGCATTGCGTGAACTATTCGTAAATGAGACGTGACCCTGCGTGCAACTAATTGGCAAGCATTGGCACGCCACAGAGCGGGGCAGTGCGGGACCAAAATGCGGGCAAGTGTCAACGAGGCATAAGGCTGAAGAGATACGGTAAAAGAAATCAGAAAAAATACTTACTACCCCGGCTCTAAGAATTATCTATGTAAGTCCCAATCGGTTTTAAATATCAATGGTGGATCCAGTAATCTGTGATGGGGAGGGTGGTGGTTAAAGCGAGCACATTTCTCAAATAGTGCTCACGAAAAGGAGGGAGGGGTGGAGGATTGGTCTTTTATATGTATCTTGGATAGCAAGGTGTTAAAAAGTAGATCAAAATTAAATAATGATAAAAATGATAATATAATGTTTTTTGTGTAGCGAAATTCAAATCAAAGTGTGCTCTCAATCAGAGCAATCAATCAAGATGACAGAATTACAACTAAATATGATGTTAGGGAATAGACCAGTTCGTAGTTAGCACATGGGTCATATGACCCCAAATATCCACATATCTTTTACTCATGGAGAAGTCCCACTTTGTGTATTTTAGAAAATTCAATGCCAAAGTCATGTATGTGCTTCTTTAAAAGCTTTTGTTTGCCCTTTTGTATCAAAGAATGTACCATAGGTGCACACATGAATAATGATTACATAACATGAGCACGTATTCATCTTGGTGGATTTTACAATTTTATCAGAAATGACCTTTATCTGCCCATGCGCAGATAGTGTTAACGAAATGGCTTATGACCTTTATCTGCGCATGCTCAGACTGTATCTACGAACTGGTATATTATATACGTACATGTCGGTTTCCCATATTTGTATGAATATATCTACGAATTAGACATGCTCGATTATGGCCTTTATTCGTATGTGACAGGCAAATACATGAAAGAGAGGACAAGTCTCGCATTCATTGAAGACATGGTTCAGGGATTAAAACAAGATAAACTGCACTCCCTTGGGAATATAATAAAACTGAGTGGAACAGATGTACATTGGCCTACGAATACACCCATCGACGTGATCTCCAAAGAAGTCCATGCCTGGGTGGCAAAATGGACGTCAGCAATGGCGACTTGGCGGAGATTCAATGACACAACAGGCAGTGCGAATGTTGTCGCTAGTGACCCCGGATTAGGACCATGGACCTACGGACGCATAAACAAGACAATTCCCCATGAGCACAGGGATCTAAATGATCGGCTCGTAGAGAATGGTTTTCTAGATCTCGCGCGTGAGATTATGATCATAGAGCAACGATCAGTTGCAGGGTTGTTAACATAAATAGAGCAGACTTTTTAAAACAGAAATCCAACCAAGTTTATCTTCGCATCGAAACAAAATCGTCAATTTAGTCTTTGAGTTGAGCGTATTATTGGCAATTTAATTTGTTGTTGTTGACATTCTACTATTTTATACCCTCCTCTCTAGTGCCCCTCTCCCCGAGAGATAAAGGGAAGAGTGTCCACCATAATAGTAAGTTTACCTTGTATACGGTGATTGGTAGGAGGGGGAGAGCTTTGTGGAAGATGTCGTAATGTGCTCATAGGTTTAGACATGTCAGATGTCTCTACACAAGTGTTTTAGTTAGATTTGTGTAGACTCTTGTTTCATTCGATCTTCAGCTGGTATAAAATACCTGACTGGTAATTTAGAGGCTAGTGCATATTATGAAGTTTTGGTAAAAAATAAATGTACGTCCTCTTCTTCTCTAAACCATCGACTATATACTGCATAAGATTAAGCTGAGTGTAATATATATAGTTTCAAACAGAATGCTAGAAAAACATTACGAACTTGTATGTATATATTATATACATGTATAATTATTTAGGGATGCTCTATGCCCCCTTTAATTCAGGAGGCATTTCCCCTGATTTGAAACACAGAAAGATATATATATATATATATATGTATATATGTATATATATATATATATATATATATATATATAGACACTTAAAGGTAATACAAAGTTTTGGGATGGGGTCATGAATTTGGTTCAAATGAACATATTGGAAGCATATGCGACCCTACACTATTCAGGGATCGTTGTTGCGGTTGTATTCGATTCTAAAGTTATGAAATTGTAAATAATAAACTATTTACGTTATATAGCTCCCTCTCAAGGTCAAGATATTAATTAAGCTATAAAACAATGTTTCTTGACTAAAATCGACCAATTAGCTATTCCCGTTTGGAAATTTTATATCACAACTACATATTCTGAGAAGCATTGTACGCCCGTAGGCGCTATTTGAAATTTATCAAAATTTACCGGGAGCACTGGAAAAATTTTATATTCAATTTTTTCTCGAAAGGAGAACTGTTTTAGGGGTTAATTTTCTTGTGCTTATAATACATCTACAGGGGCATCCAAATATATCAAAATTGTAAAGAATCACTTACACCCAATTTTCAAATTTCCCAAAATGTTGTATTACCTTTAACAAATAATGTAATGTAAGTTATCAATTGCAACATGATTACATTTTTGATCTGCAATACGTAATGAATTATTCATTAGTATTAGACTCTTTCTGTTACGAGTAAACAAATTGAATGGTAATAACATTATTATGTTTATTAGAAATGTGTTCCCTCCCTTTAGCCGTGGCATCTAGTGATGTATTGTTCATATGTCTCTTTATTTTCCTTTTTAGTTTATTTGTTTGCGGTTTTCATTTTATCAGTGAACATCAGCCTGCGATACTCAAAATACAAGACACAAATTTATGTTACGTAATTTTTAGCGAACCCATGACCGACTAATTCTTTAGATGTAAAAGTTATCACAACGCTTTGTACAAGGAAAGCGCCAGTATGATAAAATATACACGTATCAATGAAGAAATTATTGGTTAGGGTTTTATTTCAGTTACGATAATGGTCACAAGTCATAAACTAACTTGTTTTTTCACTTTTACTTTATCAATCTAATGTTTTTATTGTAATGTTTTGGTGTTCTATATTCGTTTTGCTGTGTAATTCTATTGAAGTAAGGGCTGTCGCAAGGCTTTATGTCATGTGCTAAAGATACCATATCATTGTATGCCGAACAAATATTGAGAGTAACCAATGCTACAATCATTACACTTTGCAAAATGCTATAGCTTTGTGTAATTAACTTTAAAAAGGCAAGAGGTCTGTAAATATTTATTACAGTTGTCGCGTATAATTGGGTATGTTATTTGGGTCACCGAGTCCTCTTCCTCATCAAAATTTTCATCAATTCGTTATTATGTTTATCAGTAATGATGAATTTCATCTATTTGTTACATCTCTCTATAGCTGTAGCATCTAGTAATATATTGTACATATGTCGCTTTATTTTCCATTTTTGTATATTTGTTAACGGTTTTCTTCTTATTTGTGAACATCAGCCTGCGAAACTTAAAATACAATATACATGAAATTCTGTTACACATGGTGTTTTAAGCAAGCCCATTACAGACTTCTGGCAAAGAAATCACTTCCAAAGGGTTTTGTACAATGGAAGGGTAAACATGATGAAAATACATGTATCTATAATAGACATTATTGTTTAGGATTTAGTTCAGTTACGATAATGATCATAAGTCATATGCTCGTTTCAACTTTTACTGCGTCAATTTAATGTTTTATTGTAACATTTGTGTGTTCCATATTTGTTTTACAGTGTAATTCCATCAAAGTAGGGGCACTGTCGCAAAGCTTTCTTTTATGTGCTAGAGATATCATAATATTGTGTGCAGAACACATAATGAGAGCAATCAATAAAACATTCATTATAATTTTCGAAATGCTATAGCTTTATGGAACTTCATGGAAGCAAGAGGTATGTAAATATTTGTCGTCGTTTATAGGTATGCAAATAGTGTCACAGGGCCCTGCATGTACTTCATCATAACCCTCATCAATTATCTCAAGACCCATTATCCAAACTTGCTATCAAATCCAAGGATTTTTCTGGATGATAATTTTATTATAATTATTTCATTTTATTTTGTTTGATGAGGGTTTGTATTATTAAAGCTTTAGAACTAAATAATATCGAAAGGAAATGCATTTATTAATAATATAATTCATGGATTGAAGCTGACATTGAGCTTAAATATATCAACAACAGGCTCAGAATGTAACATTTACGCTAGACAAAAGACTATAGCAAAAACATGTGATATATAACAGATTCATAATTGTTTGGAAGCGAATTTGCAACTTTTGTAGCTAAAAGAATGATACCATTAATAATTAAACTTTCTAATTTCCAATATGTCTCAGTCTCTAACGTATGGCAAAGCCACATCCCTGATTATTATTGCATATGGATTATGAATAATGACGGACGGTTCAAGGTACGATGTGCTTAATTTCATCTGAATATTGTTGGAAAATTGTAGTTTATCACAATCATTATTCCCAGCGCTGCATGTTCCCGCCGAAACGATGATAACAATCATCTTATTTTGAGAGAAATATTTCCCACGTTACAAAACAGGACAAAACATACTTATGGAGAACGAAAGAGATAGAGAGAGAGAGAGAGAAAGAGAGAGAGAGAGAGAGAGAGGGTGAGAGGGATTGAGGGAGAGAGAGATAGAGAGAAAGAGAGAGAGGGAGAGGGAAAGAGAGAGAGAGAGGGGGATTAAAGTGCTAATATACGAAGCATTGAACATTTCTTCATGTGGATGCAATCGAGAAGAAAAGTAAAGTTTCATTGCATTCACAGGCTCCATTCTGATAGAGCATCTTCATGAGACTGTGCATTACCTGAGTCTGATTTGTGGACTTAGTAAAATAATCTTATTGATGTCACGGTTCAATATTAAGGTCGGAAATCTATTTTAGTTGATTTAATATCTCCTGTTGGTATATGTCTTGGCGACCGGGAATTTTTTTCACGCACAAATAATAATTGTACGAATGTATTATATTTACAGTGCAATCCCATTATGAAAATTAATTGACTTAAATCCAAAATCTTAACGTAGGCGACATCGCTGTCTGATAATTGCAGAATGGCTCGGATGGTGATTAAAAAGCACGACTTTTAGATGGCAACAGCCTTCTCGTCGAACACTCCCTCCCTCTTCGACTTTTACTTCTGTCGCGTCAGTCATAATCTTTAACGAGATTTCAAATTTGTGCTTATCTTACTGAAAAAAGTATGAACTATAATACACGTCAAACAAGATTTTAAAGGTGATGATGTTATATTGAAAATCATATACGTGGTTAGTATGAATCCGTAGTTTATACCCCCCCCCCCCCCCCCCCCTCTGTCTTAATATTCTGGATCCGCCAATGACAGGGGCTGCTCCATTCAACAACGACAAATTCATACGCATCAACAAATTTGTCTTTTTTGTGATGAAATTGCACAGCAAAGAATAGGGGAACAAATCACCCAGCCAGGTAATGGCCTTTTATCCGATTTTACAAAGACCGTGAATACATTAGATCGGTAAATATTTAAACTGGACAGAAATTAGTTTGGAAATGCCAACCACAGTTCAAAGTCATGCTTGCCGATGCCATAATGTCATAAAATTATGCACACTCAGGACAATGGCGTAGCCTGGGCTCAGTCATGAGAGAGGGGTTCACCAGTCTTTAGTATATATATGCTAGATCAGCGTTTTTTGTATAGTCACGGCATCCTTTATGGAGTTTCGCGTCACCGAAATCCACCATTCATCAAATAGGATGTGTTTTACATCCCTCGTATACAGTATATACGGAGACGTATACTGGCACATTTTCGCGTTAGGGCCTTGAGGGCCTCCTACCTCCAAATCCGGATCTCAAATATTGCGAACTAGCGAAATGTAAATGTAGCTTCAATAAGAGATTGAATTGAATACATTTCTCGTGCAACATACAAATCAAATTACAATTATTATTCGGGTGATATGCTGAAATGTATGATAAACATAACCCTTCTCATGTTTACATCTCGTTACAAATTATTACAAATGCATAACAAAAGATATATACGTTTAGTTACTAACGATCACAGAAACATGAATGAGTATATTATACAGTTGGAAGTTATTACTCATTTAGGCATATATACAGTATGTTATGTACTGAATGTGCTGCTAGAATCATAACAATATTCGGGCGACGAGGTGCCCGAATATCGTCATATCATCATCATAGGGGATATGCATGGACCTCATTGTCTAAAACTATCCTGTTTTTAAATTTTGCGAGCGAGGAATATTACACTTTTACTATTTCTGAAATGATATTTCCTCATCAAAATACCCCATAGTCATAAATAATTTGGCATCTTGTAGTTTCTGATGCTCGGTTTTCATGGAAATGACGTTATTCCAAAACAATATTTAAATATAAGTACCTAAAATAATTTCGTGGCGCCCTGTTGAAAAACGCTTTACTTCATGGTCAAACTATGAGGGGAAAGATTGACTGAGCCGGGGAATATATCCTTTGCCCCTTTAGAGTGGGAAGATTTTACATTTCGTTCCCATTTCCATTTGTTCCCTGCTGTACGATACATCAAGGACGCAGATCGGATCATCCCTTAACATTTTTTGATAATCGTTTAATGGACCTCGTACAACAGATTTTATTTAAGATTTATCATGTTGTCCCAACGGTACCGAGTCAAATAATATATTAATCGTTAAAGAGCGTCGTTTTGACCTTTTGAGGGGAGCCATTGTCTCTGTGTCCCTTCTTTCATAGCTACGTCACTGGGTCAGATTACGGACTTTGATCATGCCTCACGTGGTATTAATGATATATTTTTATGATATCAAATATATATAAGTAAACATCAGACTGAAATCAAGCAATTTTATG